AAGCACATTTAAACACAATATACAGGTGAAACTCGAAAAACTAGAATATGGTGCAAAAGTTCATTTATCTCAGTAATTCAACTTAAAAGGTGAAGCTAATATATTATATAGACTCATTACATGCAAAGTGAGATATTTCAAGCCTTTATTTGTTATAATTGTGATGATTATGGATTACAGCTTATGAAAACCCCAAAGTCAAAATTAGAATATTGTGAAAAGGTTTTCATAAGCTGAATCCATAATCATCACAATTATAACAAATAAAGGCTTGAAATATCTCACTTTGCATGTAATGAGTCTATATAATATATTAGCTTCACCTTTTAAGTTGAATTACTGAGATAAATGAATTTTTACACGATATTCTAATTTTTCGAAAAAGCGATATCTTTGTCAAAGTGTCTTTCAATGGTTAAATTTATTGCATCTGCTGCACTTTATTTGTACCATTTTGTTTTATTGTTTTATTTTTGTTTATCTATTTAGATTAGTTTTTGTTTGATTAGAGAGATCTCTGACTGAAGTCCTTGAAAACCACAAAAGTAGTGCTTGAAAGTGCTGTAATTTAGTTTGGCAGTCTCTGCACGAGCCCTGTCTGGCGCCCAGTGTTTACACTACAGAGTGCACTAGTACACGGACCGGGACGCACCCGAAGTGCATATCTGTGCATGTACGAATATTACAAACAACCCCATCGCACTACAGATGAAGAGTAACTTTTTTTTAGCTTAATATTGAATTTTAAGGTTATTAATTTAGCATCTATTCGTATCTTAAGCTGATTTGCCTTGTTATTAATAAATTTGTTGTGCATGCAAGCAGGCTTATTATATTGAGACAAATTTTAAGTGCAAGCTTTTTGCATGTTATACAAGTATGCAAATCACTATACAGCCCGTGTGTGTGTGTGTGTGTGTGTGTTCATGGACATGGTGTGCATCTTGGTGTGTTTTTGCATTAGTATCTCTAAGTAATTTGGCTGTTAGCTAAAGTCATTTATTTAGTGCATGCAAACAGTTTGCATTTGAAAGGCTCAGTGGATAAAGAGGCCATTTTAAGTGGATGCTTTAGTATGCTATACATTAAGAATGCAAACCACGCTTGCTTGGCCACTTCAATGCCAGCCGGTGGTTTGTTGTACATACTTAATGTGTGTCCTTGTGTTACTGTGGCTCATACACTGGAGGCGATTTTATTATTTTTCTTTTTTTTTAAATATCTGTCATTAATGTATAGAGATAAATAGATAATGTATAGATATGTTGTTACTCATGTAGCTGAATGTGTGTCTCATAATCTTGAATCAGAATAACCACTTTTCTACAGTACAGGTGAAACTCGAAAAATTAGAATATGGTGCAAAAGTTCAGTAATTCAACCTAAAAGCTGAAACTAATATATTATATAGACTCATTACATGCAAAGTGAGATATTTCAAGCCTTTATTTGTTATAATTTTGATGATTATGGAGTACAGCTTATGAAAACCCCAAAGTCAAAATTTTAATATCGTGAAAATGTTTTCATATCTGTAATCCATAATCATCAAAATTATAACAAATAAAGGCTTGAAATATCTCACTTTGCATGTAATGAGTCTATATAATATATTAGTTTCACCTTTTAGGTTGAATTACTGAAATAAATGAACTTTTACACGAAATTTTTCGAATTCCACCTGTATAATTTAATATTTCTTTATGCTATTGTTGTCCAAGAGTAATAACCATATTATAATGCACAGATTGATATATATATATATATATATACCAATACCAGTGAAAACTAACTCTACTGTCAATCAATCAATCATCAGGTATTGTTATTGGCTGATGCTAATATTATCAAAATATCAGCTAATAATAATGATCATTAATAATGTTAGTTACCATGAGTTCAAAATGGACAATTCTTGTTTTTGTATGTGGAATATTGCATAAATGATTTATCGGTGCACATCATTATTGGTTTAATAATCTTGAATGAGAATAAGTTCCTCTCGCAGCATCTCTTCTGTTCTCTGGTGATGTGGGCGGGGCTATAACCTGTCACCAGTGTTGGGGAAGTTACTTTTAAAAAGTAGTGTAACTCGTTACTCGTTACTTCTTTAAAAAAGTAATCCATTACTTTACTTAGTTACCCCATATAGAAAGTAACTTTTTACGTTACTCGTTACTTTTACGTTACTTTTATGTTGCTTGACTTTGGGCAGAACCCAATATCTGTTCCTAAATGTGTAGGCCTACATAAAGTTCTACTATGCATAATGCCATATATAATGCCATAAATGCATAATGCATTATCAACAAAATTTTATATTTATGAAGAAATGCCGGTTAATGGATAGGCATATGCATGGGCGCCGCTAGGGAGGGGCTAGAAAGAAAGCCCCCAAGAAAGACCAAAGCATCCCGTTAGCACCCCAAAAAATCATTTCTGGAAGTAATTATATTCAGGCTGTATTCTATGGAAGTCCTGAACCGCATGGTGAAGAAAAAAAAAGAAAACTTATCTTGTTATTTAGACATAATAAGGGGACATTCTAATCTGCATTAAGCCAAATTAAGCGTTCTTATAATGGTTTTCTATGGGAGGAAAATGCTTAACGTGTAAGTAAACACGTTGCGTTCATATTCTGGGCTCATCTGATTTTTTGTACATAGTATAGACTTTATTATGATTTTAGTATCATAATGATTAATAAATGCACGCACAATTATCCGTGCACTTGATAAATGTTGCAGATATGTCGTGCACGTAAACAAATGCCTTTCAACTTATGTGTGCAAAATTCAGAATTAAATGAATGTGCAGCAATATACAAATAGAGAGTCTGTAGGCCTACTATAGCCTACGTGTTGTAGCCATTAAATAAGCGCATTTAGTTTCATATTTTTAAAAATATTATAATGTTATTTGTTTTCCATCTATGCTGATTATGAAAAGTGAACAGCGCGAGTAAGATGGATGCGCAATATATCGGGAGACATTGAGTCAATCAGACATGATTTTGCCCACTTCATTAAGTTTTGTTTTGAAGAAAGCCTTTCTTTAAAGCGAATTTCGTTTTGTATAAATTGAATCTTAATTTTAATCAATTTTTTATGAACCAAATGCCTGTATTTAATAAATAAGAAGCAAATATAGGAGACAATATAATCATGGAAGCGCCGGCGTGGTCACTTGCATTGCACGTGAACTGGAGCATCTCATCATAAATTAACCGAAACTCAACGTATAGAATTTAAGCTTGAAATGTCTTTAAACGAAACAATTCAAAACGAAAAGAAATAGGCTACTCTCTGATTATGTAATCCATTATGTGCATTTCTCTCTGGGGCGTTCACTACGGAGATGGCGATCGCGGTCAAATCTATCAAATGACGGAGATCCTGTCAAATCCCAGGGACAGATAATCTGTCCCTGGGGAAAGTAACGTTGCGTCGAATTGAAAAAGGACCTACGTTTCGTTACCAAATTTTCAGTAGTAGCGCGTTACACTACTTTTTACCCGAAAAAGTAGTTACGTTACTGTAACGCGTTACACACAACACTGCCTGTCACTCACATAAGATCAGCCAATAGCAAACCACAACCATCCAATCAATTCCACACAGACAAAATCAAGCCCCGCCCACATTTGTTCTTGTTCCAGAAGCGTTTCACTCGGATATACAGAACAATAGAGGAGAAAAGACGAGCACAACTTCAGTTTCATGTCAACTTGCTCAACAAACTGTTAGTCTATGCCAGTAGTTGAGCTGAAACACCATAAATAGAAGATCCCTGTTTATTCCTAATGCATTTTAAATTGCTCTCGCATTTCAGAGCACCACGTGTGTGTCATTCCCGGTCAGGTTTGTTTCCCGTTGTTCTGTGGAGGATCGTAGTGTGTGTCTGCTGTAAAACACCTGCGTCTCATGCAACGGCCGCTTCACAACACACTGGAGCGGTTTCTAAACATAGCCAGCGTTTCAAGGCATGCCAAATATAATTATGATATCTACAACAAACACCTTCTTTTGGACAGCACATTTATTATTTAATACGAATTCATTGCACACTAGATGAAGCAAGAGAAATGTGGATCATAAATATATTTAAAGAAATGTTAAAGATTCACAGGTTTCACATGTGTGGCTATTGTAATCATAATCATAATCATATTGTAATCGCAATATGGCTGCCGTCGCATCATCATCAGTCGGTCAGTAGTTATAGTCAGTGAACTGATTATTAGCACAGAGAGGTTGACCTTATTTTTCTTCTTTTTGAGTTGGACGTGACAAAAGTAAATTCAATTTCAAAACCCACTCTGAGTAATTCAGCCAGTGAGTGAGTTATTAGACTGATTTAAAGCATAAACTTGTTATTTTTTAGCCTTTTTTTAGCCAATTCATTCAAAGAGTCGCCTTAAAATGAGTCATTTGTACTTGCAAGGGCAACATGGAACTATTTGTTGTCTAATTAATTTCTAACTCATTCCTGGCATTCTCTCTCTCTCTCTCTCTCTCTCTCTCTCTCTCTCTCTCTCTCTCTCTCTCTCAGAGGACGGCTATGAGCAGTTTCGTGTGGCGGAGAAGTCTCACGGGAGCTGGATGAAGCTCTACATGGATGGAAACACGTCAGAGGTGCTGAGCAACATGGGGAAGAAGGTCCTGAAGCAGTATCTGGAGGCGCTGAAGGCCATGAGTGCAGCTCTGAGCAAACAGCTGGGCAAATACGACATGTACTCCATGATCATGGGCATGATCCTCACACTGCAGGTCAGAGCCGCTTCATGCTGACAACACCACGCCACGTTTCATCTCTAGCGGTGTAACGATGCCCTCGTGTCACGACTCCACACACATCACGACACTGAACTCACGATACCATATTATTGCGATACTCCAAGACATATGATACATTTTTACTGTTGATTAAAATGCTAATTTTGGTATTACATTGTGTGTGTAAATGAATAGTCTTGGACTTGATGCTGAAACCCAAAGCACAGGACAATAGAGACACCAGAATAACAATATTCATGATTCTGAAGTAGAAAATACAGAATTATTTTAGACGAATATGCTTTCAATCTGTCACTGACTAGATATATTTAAAATAATGTCGGACACTTTTTACTGGTAACATCAGACATTATCAGGAGCCATAAATATTCCCCCATTGTATTATTATTATACATTATATTCAACATTATATATAGTAGTTTAATGTAGTACTGACACAAACTTTTTTTAATAATATGGGATTTAATTTTAATTTTGGGTGAATTATCCATGATACATATTGTTGCATTTTTGTATTGCGATATATTGTGACATGATATATTGTTACACCCCTAATATATATATATATATATATATATTATAATATATAAATTTCCTTGTCTGGCTTATGCTACTCTGAGAAAGGCCTGCACTTTGTATTTTGAGCACTTCTTGCGTTGTTTTTGCCTCCTCACGATGACTCGCTTTAATTTAGTCCTAAAATAAGTAAGTCGCTTTGGATAAAAGTGTCTGCTAAATGACTAAATGTAAATGTAGATAAATGGATGGATGGATGGATGGATAGATAAATGGATGGACAGATGGCAAAATATGGGATGGATAAATGGATGGATGGATAGATGGATGGATGGATGGATGGATAGATAGATGGATGGATGGATGGATAAATGGATGGATAAATGGATGGATGGATGGATAAATGGATGGACAGATAGCATAATCTGGGATGGATGGATGGATGGATAAATGGATGGACAGATAGCATAATCTGGGATGGATGGATGGATGGATAAATGGATGGACAGATAGCATAATATGGGATGGATAAATGGATGGATAGATAAATGGATGGATGGATGGATGGATAGATAAATGGATGGACAGATAGCATAATATGGGATGGATGGATGGATGGATAAATGGATAGATAGATGGCTGGCTGGATGGATAAATGGATGAACAGATTGCAAAATATGGGATGGATGGATGGATGGATGGATAGATAAATGGATGGATGGATAAATGGATGGACAGATAGCATAATATGGGATGGATGGATGGATGGATAAATGGATGGACAGATAGCATAATATGGGATGGATGGATAAATGGATGGACAGATAGCATAATATGGGATGGATAAATGGATGGATGGATGGATGGATGGATAAATGGATGGACAGATAGCATAATATGGGATGGATAAATGGATGGATGGATGGATGGATAAATGGATAGATAGATGGATGGATGGATGGATGGATGGATGGATAAATGGATGGACAGATTGCAAAATATGGGATGGATAGATAGATGGATGGATGGATGGATAAATGGATAGATAGATGGATGGATGGATGGATAAACGGATGGACAGATTGCAAAATATGGGATGGATAGATAGATGGATGGATAAATGGATAGATAGATGGATGGATGGATGGATAAATGGATGGACAGATTGCAAAATATGGGATAAATGGATGGATGGATAAATGGATGGACAGATAGCATAATATGGGATGGATGGATAAATGGATGGACAGATAGCATAATATGGGATGGATGGATGGATAAATGGATGGATAGATGAATGGATGGATAAATGGATGGATGGATGGATGGATAAATGGATGGACAGATAGCATAATTTGGGATGGATAAATGGATGGACAGATAGCATAATTTGGGATGGATAAATGGATGGACAGATAGCATAATCTGGGATGGATAAATGGATGGATAGATAGATAAATGGATGGAGAGATTGCAAAATATGGGATGGATAGATGAATGGATGGACAGATAGCATAATCTGGGATGGATAAATGGATGGATAAATGGATGGACAGATTGCAAAATATGGGATGGATGGATGGATAAATGGATGGACAGATAGCATAATCTGGGATGGATAAATGGATGGATAAATGGATGGACAGATTGCAAAATATGGGATGGATGATTATTATTATTTTAGATAGAAGGATAGATTAAAGCAAAATTTTGGTACGTTTTGCTTGTTTGGTGGAATGTCTCTGAAGAATCATGGGTAATGTAGTTTTTTTAGAAATTCCACTGTTAAACATTTTATTATTGTAAAAAACTAAGTTAAAATAATGCAAGCTGAATGGCTTCAGCAAATTTCATCGATTAACAGCCTCACAGTAGGGCTGACATTAAAGGTTTATGAGTTATCATTAAAAATCAATTAAAGTTTTAACACAATCTGGCAGACTTATGCTGACTGATTAAAGAAAATATATCAGAAATATCTCACATGCAAAGTGAGATATTTCAAGCCTTTATTTGTTATGATTGTGATGATTATGGATTACAGCTTATGAAAACCTTTTCACAATATTCTACTTTTGACTTTGGGGTTTTCATAAACTGTAATCCATAATCATCAAAATTATAACAAATAAAGGCTTGAAATATCTCACTTTGCATGTAATGAGTCTATATAATATATTAGTTTCACCTTTTAAGTCGAATTACTGAAATAAATGAACTTTTGCACCATATTCTAATTTTTCGAGTTTCACTTGTACACTCTATGTGTGTGTGTGTGTGTGTGTGTGTGTGTGTGTGTGTGTGTGTGTGTGTGAGCTAAAGACCTTTTCCAGCCGCAGTTCAACAGTTGTGTTTGCTAAGTGCAATCCATTATTGAAGTACTACAGTCTCCAAACGGTCGATCCCTCATCCGGTCAATGAGATCTAAAGGACACCGTGTCCACTGGGATGAGGACCGGAGAATGTCAGGAGGTTTGAGGTCATCCAGAACCCGTCTCAGTTCCTCAGAGGATTGGAAGAGATGTGAATTTGCTGGGTCTCCAGTGATTTGTATTTTCAGAGCTTAAAGCCTTAAAACGGGATGTGCATAAGTATATATTTTCTTACAATTATCTTACAACTAGCGAAATCCTGTATAATTAGGCTCATCTAGTTAGTTTTACTGATATACTCTGACGTTCAACAGTTTGGGGTCGATAACATTTGAAAGAGTCTCTTCTGCTCACCTAGGCTGCCTTTATTTGATCAAAAATACAGTAAAAATATAGAGAAATATCACAATTAAAAACAGTTTTCAGGTCACAAAAAATAGAGCCGCTTACCATATAATCACGCATTTTAAATTACACAATCAACGCTTTAAATGGAAGGAGAGAGTGGTTCTCATATTTTGCCATTGACATGAATGCACAATCAGATTCTGCAGTGCAAATTAGTCAAATCTAATCAAATTAGACAGTATGGACAGATTGCATAATATTGAATGGCTGGATGGATGGATTGCATAATGTGGGATGGATGGACAGATTGCATAATATGGGATGGATGGATGGATTGCATAATATGGGATGGATGGATGGATTGCATAATATGGGATGGACAGATTGCATAATATGGGATGGATGGATGGATGGACATATTGCATAATATGGGATGGATGGATGGACAGATTGCATAATATGGGATGGATGGATGGATGGATAGATTGCATAATATGGGATGGATGGATGGATGGATGGATAGATTGCAGATTGGATGGATGGACAGATTGCATAATATTGGATGGATGGATGGACAGATTGCATAATATTGGATGGATGGACAGATTGCATAAGATGGGATGGATGGATGGACAGATTGCATAATATGGGATGGATGGATGGATGGATAGATTGCAGATTGGATGGATGGACAGATTGCATAATATTGGATGGATGGATGGACAGATTGCATAATATTGGATGGATGGACAGATTGCATAAGATGGGATGGATGGATGGACAGATTGCATAATATGGGATGGATGGATGGACAGATTGCATAATATTGGATGGATGGATGGACAGATTGCATAATATGGGATGGATGGATGGATGGATGGATGGATTGCATAATATGAAATGGATGGATGGACAGATTGCATATTATTGGATGGATGGATGGATGGACAGATTGCATAATATGGGATGGATGGATGGATGGACAGATTGCATAATATGGAATGGATGGATGGATGGATTGCATAATATGGGATGGATGGATGGACAGATTGCATAATATTGGATGGATGGATGGACAGATTGCATAATATGGGATGGATGGATGGATGGATTGCATAATATGGGATGGATGGATTGCATAAGATGGGATGGATGGATGGACAGATTGCATATTATTGGATGGATGGATGGATGGATGGATGGACGGACAGATTGCATAATATTGGATGGATGGATGGACAGATTGCATAATATGGGATGGATGGATGGATGGATTGCATAATATGGGATGGATGGATGGATGGACAGATTGTATAATATGGGATGGATGGATGGATGGATAGATTGCAGATTGGATGGATGGACAGATTGCATAATATTGGATGGATGGATGGACAGATTGCATAATATTGGATGGATGGACAGATTGCATAAGATGGGATGGATGGATGGACAGATTGCATAATATGGGATGGATGGATGGACAGATTACATAATATTGGATGGATGGATGGACAGATTGCATAATATGATGGATGGATGGATGGATGGATGGATTGCATAATATGAAATGGATGGATGGACAGATTGCATATTATTGGATGGATGGATGGATGGACAGATTGCATAATATGGGATGGATGGATGGATGGATTGCATAATATGGGATGGATGGATGGACAGATTGCATAATATTGGATGGATGGATGGATGGACAGATTGCATAATATGGGATGG